ACCGTACTCCAGCCTGGGCGACAAAGCAAGACTCCATCTCAATAAATAAATAAATAAATAAATAAATAAATAAATAAACAAAGGTGCCAATGCAATGCAGCACGGTTCAGAATATGCCATCTGCTACCCAGGCCAGTGCGCCTCCTCCCTGCACCTTCCTCACCTCTCACCATCCTGTTGGCAGCCATATAACCCCCAACGAGAAGCCTACAGTTTATACACAAATTATAAAACAGCTTTGCTGTAAAATCAGTCCCACGTTTGGGAAGAGAAATGTGTCTATATCCAAAATATACACACAATGGACCCGTTTCCCAACGTGCCCAGAGTGGTTACCTCTGGGTTGCAATGGTGGGACATGTGGCCACCCTACCCAGACTTGGGGGAGGAAGGCAGACTTCTCAGAGGGGCCTGATCGAATTTCCTCCTTCGGCTCCTGACTCCACCCACTTCTCTCTACCATGGCTTCAGCACTCTCGTCCCAAGAACCATGGCTTCTCCCTGGCAGCAGCGCTGACACCTGCCAGGTCCACTCTTGCTCACTACATCGCCACTCGGTGACCTTGTTTTGCTTACAGTAAACATGAATTGGCCATGCCCTGCTAAAAACTCTGATGGATCTTCACAACTTTTGGGGGGGAAAAAACGCCACTCCTTAGCCTGGCTCCTGAGGCCCCATAACGGGTGCTCCCCGCCCACCCCACAGCCTCCTTCCAAGCCTCCTCTGGAACCACAGCGCCACCCGCTGCCAGCCACTGCTTTGGTTTTGTCCACACTCCCCCCACCTTCTGAGCACTGGGTCTTGGCATATTTCCTCTGCCTGAAACGTTCTGAAGTATTTGGGCGATTGGGCGGGTTGAGACACACAAAGCTTCACTGCCGCCCAGTATGGGCCTGCACACACCTGCTTTCTTCCTCTTCTTGTTACTGATCGGGTTTTTCATCTCCTGGCGGCTCCTCATAATCTCCCGGAGACGGAAAGGGATCTCCTGTTCATCCTGGTTCTTGGGCTTGCAGTTCACTTTCTTCTTCTCTTTGCTGGGAGGAAGAACACGGGGGTGAGACCCATTGTAAGTAAAGCATAAGCAGAATCAGTAATAGAAACAATAATTGGGTCTAGCAATAGAATTTACAAGGGCGGGCCGGGTCCGGTGGCTCAAGCCTGTAATCCCAGCACTTTGGGAGGCCGAGGTGGGCGGATCACGAGGTCAGGAGATCGAGACCATTCTGGCTAACGCGGTAAAACCCCATCTCTACGAAAAATACAAAAAAATTAGCCGGACGTGGTGGCAGGTGCCTGTAGTCCCAGCGACTCGGGAGGCTGAGGCAGGAGAATGGCGTGAACCCAGAAGGCGGAGCTTGCAGTGAGCTGAGATGGCGCCATTGCACTCCAGCCTGGGGGACAGAGCGAGACTCCGTCTCAAAAAAAAAAAAAGAATCTACAGGGCCACATCTGGCTTCTGTGGTGCGAGCCAGTCCAGGGAGCAGAGATCTTTCCTCTCGGTCTCTCAGTGGCTGTCCCTGAACCGCTTCCTCACAGGATGCGAGGCTGAAAGGTACTCCGAAAGCCCAGGAGGCCTTTCTGCCCTGACCTCTGTCAGGCCTCTGAGCCCAAGCCAAGCCATTATATCACCTGTGACCTGCACGTATCCATCTGGATGGCCTGAAGTAACTGAAGAATCACAAAACAAATGAAATTTAAATGGCCTGTTCCTGCCTTAGCTGATGACATTCCACCACAAAAGAGGTGAAAATGGCCGGTCCTTGCCTTAACTGTTGACATTACCTTGTGAAATTCCTTCTCCTGGCTCAAAAAGCTCCCCCACTGAGCACCTTGTGACCCCCGGCCCTGCCCGCCAGAGGACAACCACCTTTGACTATAATTTTCCTTTACCTACCCAAATCCTATAAAACGGTCCCACCCCTATCTTCCTTCGCTGACTCTCTTTTCGGACTCAGCCCGCCTGCACCCAGGTGATAAAAAGCTTTATTGCTCACACAAAGCCTGTTTGGTGGTCTCTTCACACGGACACGCGTGAAAACCTCGTCCAGAACCGCAAAGACGGGGCAGTGGGACGCGGTAAAGGGAAAACCTGGGACTCCCTCGCGCCTCCATTCATTCAACCGATCCTGGCGGGGCGCGGGCGCAGAGGACAGCACTGAGCCCCGCCTGGGAAAGGCGTCAGAGCGAACGCTCCCTAGGGTGTCCGGGAGGGAGCCTTCTAGGCGTCTCCTTCCTA